TTTTAAAAGAAAATTAAATACTCAATTTGACATAAGTGGAAATCATAATTAAACAGAAAAAGCAACATTTTGACATTATAGGCAAACTTTTCTGCCCAACTTATCGCTTCAGAACATTTAAATTAGTGATTTCAGCAAACAAACAAACCTAGCAACCAAGTGATTTCAACGACTGCTGAGGCCATACTCCTCTACTCTGCCTTTGCACTACTTCTGAAAACAATATCTTTTTTTTTTGTACTTCCAGGAGATAAGAGAACTGCCAAACTTGGTCTAGAGGGTGTTTGGCTAAGCCTATAAGCTGGTCAAACTAGCTTATAAACATTTTTTGGCTTATCTATGCGTTTGGTAAAATTAAAAGTGCTTATAAGCTAAGTGCTTATAAGCCAAAAATAAGCCAAAAGCCATAAGTTGGTGTTTCCTAACTTATCAAATTTCAGCTTATAAACACTTTAGGTTTGACTAAAATATTTACTATTCTATCCCTAAAATACTTCTTTTTAAAACAAAACTCTTCGTATACCCAATTCTTTCATCTCCTTATTATTAATTTCAGCACTTTTATCCAAATACGTAACTGCTTATTTCTTAAATCAGCTTCAGCACTTAAAAGTGCTTTTCAACACCTAATGCTTATCAGCTACTCTAAATCAGCTAAGCCAAACGTCATCCTAATAACCACTAAATATTATGTCTGTCCAACGAGACGGGACAGAATATATTAACGAGACGGGACGACATTTAGGCGGGACGGTGGCGGGACAGGACGAAACATGATCGGATAAACGGGACGAAACGGTCGGCCCATCCTGTCCCGTTAACAAACAGGATGGGACGGGACGGAATGAGAAGGGACAGGATGGATTCGCGGGCCTTAAGTGCCGTTTTTAAAAAAAAGTCTAGTTTTTTGACAATGACTAAGTTTTTAAAGTTTGCAACGGCTAGTTTTTTGATTTATTAATAAACTTAAATGTTAAAATGGAAATTAGAAAACTAAATAAAGAATTATAAAATTTTAAAACAAAAGACTTGTAATGAAATATTCTAGTAATTATAATAGAGTTATAATTTATTTAATATAATTTCAAAGTATTAAGTAACTAAGACAATTCATAAAAAAAATTCAATGCTTAAAGCCTTTTATTTTATTAATAAAACTTTCAAATCTCACATACAAATATAATTCTTTTGAAGAGCACCTAATCTACTCAACCACCTTCTAGAAAGAGTTCTGTTTGAACTAGGCCTCTTAGTAGCCAATTACAAATTATCATACTAATATTTGTAAGCTCCTATATAGCTTCTTTGTAACTTATCAATAATTTCTCTTGGACATTGTTCTGGAATTGGCAATGTTGATTGATGTTCCATGAGCTCCATGCCGTCATCGCTCCCAGTGCTAAGCATCTCATTGTATTCTTCTTCTTCCCTAGTAGTTAATTTTTTAAAACCAAGATTTCTTCTTTCTGAATTAATCCAATCTCTGAATAATACGAAAATCTCTAGACTATCCTCCGCTAATGCATGTCTATGATCTCCAATTTGAAATCTTGCCGCGCTAAAAGTACTCTCCGATGCTACTGATGATGCTTGAATAGCCAGGATATCTCGGGCCATTATTGAAAGTTTTGGAAAAGCCTTGCCACGCTCCCTCCACCATGCCAAAAGTTGTTCGTTGCCTTCTTCGTCTTTAATACTTTCCAATCCTTGATTAAGATAAGAATCAAGTTCATCATCAATAGAGGAATCAAAACCTGTTATATCATCCATATCTTCCCATAAAACTTATGCTATAGACTTAGAAGTAGAAAGAGCAGTTTCATAACCTACTGTTTCCATAGATTTATATTTATCAAACATTGATCTAGCATAAAATATATGCTAGCTTGGCAATCTTCGAGAGATGGTTGTTCATTTTCTTGAATTATTAAATTCTCATAAATTTTACAAACAAGTCCCTTTGCACCTCTTAGTTTTAAAGATGGGTTAAGTAGAGTAGAAATTAAATAAACTTGGGGAATAGGGAAAGAATACTTTTTAAATTTTGAAATCATTTCATTAATGGCCGGTGCATAGGTTGGATTTGTTTTATACTTACAAAATACAACAGAAATTCCATAAATATACCATAATATTTGTGTAACAGTAGGATAATATATATCAGAAAATTATTTTGTAGCATAATAAAATTTTTCTAAAAATTTAGTAAGCTCTTTGATCTTATCCCAATCAGAATCAACAATTTGATCAGCGGGGATACCATTATNTCGTAAAACAGTACCAGAAGCAGGGTCAAGCTGTTGTTGTACAAAATTAGAACCCCCGCTAGATCCCCTAGGAGTGCTAGTACCGGTGCTAGGATCTATAATTTTTCCGGCTTCTATGTTAGCTTGTATCTATAAAAATTTGTGATCCATAAGTAAGTGTCTGGTTAAACCCCCCGTCCCACCACTTTTTGTGTGTGCAAATTGTTGCTTACANATTTTTCTAAAAATTTAGTAAGCTCTTTGATCTTATCCCAATCAGAATCAACAATTTGATCAGCGGGGATACCATTATGCATATTAAATAATTTTTGGATAGACACCCGATAATCATACGCATATTTAAGCATTTCATAAGTAGAATTCCTCATAGTACAAATATCTTTTGGAACTTTTCTAAATGGAAGGTTAGCACTAGCACATTGTTGAGCAAATTCGCGAATTCTACTCGCTTTATTAGCACAAAAAATATAGGCACAAGCATGTTGTATTTTACTACAAGCATTATAAAATAAATTAAGACCATCTTTTACAATCAAGTTAAAAATATGGCATGCACATCTAACATGAAAAATTATTGAATTAATTTGACAAAGTCTAATTTTTAAACTAGTTGTTGCGGTTGTGTTAGTAGAGGAATTATCTAAGGTGATAGTTAAAACTTTATCAATGAGTCCATAAAAATCAAGTATTTATAGAACAGTAGTTGCAATATATGCTCCAGTGTGTTTTGAATCAACAAATTTATAACCAATAATACATTTTTGCATGTTTCAGTAATGATCAACCCACTGATATGTAACAGTTAAATAATCACAACCATTAGGACTACGACCTATATCAGTTGTGATAGACACTTTACAATCTAAGTGAAAAAATACACAACGAATATACTGAAGATATTCGGTTTGAAATTTAAAAACATCATTTCTAATCGTGGTCTTAGAAAAACCTTGAAAAGCAGGGTTATAAGTTTCTTGTATATAATGCACAAAAGCAGGGTGAGAAGGAAAAGTAAAAGGTAAGCCACAGACAACCACCATTTTTGCTAAGTTCTCACGATCTCTATCTTTGTTATAGGGTCGTATAACAGTACCAGAAGCAGGGTCAAGCTGTTGTTGTACAAAATTAGAACCCCCGCTAGATCCCCTAGGAGTGCTAGTACCGGTGCTAGGATCTATAATTTTTCCGGCTTCTATGTTAGCTTGTATCTATAAAAATTTGTGATCCATAAGTAAGTGTCTGGTTAAACCCCCCGTCCCACCACTTTTTGTGTGTGCAAATTGTTGCTTACATTTTTCACATATAGCACGATGATTGACTTTATCATATTTAAATTTTTTCCATACAAGTGATGTTTTGGGACATTCAGCCTTAGGCTTACTCCTTATAGGGGATACAAGGGGTAAAGCTCCAGACCGAGATTGACTCTGAGTTGGAGCTTGTGTTGCGAGACTAGTGAGTCTTTCATCTAATTCTTCTTCCTCATTTTCGTCATCCTCATTTCTTCGTCCTAAAAAAATATCATTGCCAAATTGTCTTTGTAAAGTTTCATGATCTAGTTGTTCTCCGATATTAATATTATAACATGCAGGGGGTTGGGAAAATGAAGTTTCATCAACATGAGTCATTTCATCTATATGTTTTCTAATTCTAGGAGAAAGGTTAGGATTAGGACTAGGATTATGTTACTACTACTTTCACCTTTACTATTTTTTACTACTTTTTTTAAACATGCCAAATACATTTTTAGGTTCCATAATTTAAATATGAAATTAAGTTTAAAAAGTTAACACAAAAATTAAACACACAAATAAAATACGAAAATAGAACACGTAAAGTAAATACAAAAATTAAGCATTAAAATGATACGCAAAAATTATATATTAAAATTAGGAGATGGAACCGTGATTAATATTGAAACTTGAAGAAATTGCCCAAAATATTTCTCCAAATACTAGACGAATTAATTTGAAGCTTGAAAGTTGCTCCAAAAATTTGCCCAAATACTTGAAGTTATCACTTGATAGTTAATAGTAAGAAAATTCAGAGAATAATATAGATAGGATGTAAGAGATTTGAGAGATGATGATTGATATTTTGTGGAAAATAATGAAGAAGGATGAGGGGTATTTATAGTAGAAAATAGGGCCAAAGTGTAATTTAATAAACTTAGGAGTTATATTAAAAACTT